ATTGTTCTTCTCTTTTCATTCCAATTTCAATCAAATAACCTCCTTCCATAGTATTTTTCTGTGTTAATTCCAATTGCTATTTCTATTTTCTATCATTGGTCCGACCTGCCGTGACCTGCCTCGACCATGGTTCAACCGTCGATGGAAACCCGTTCTCAATCAGCACGTCTCGATCAACATGATGAACAGATTGCTCAAATTCAGTCTGATATTCTCGAAATCAAGGCCTCCATGGATTCTGAACGAGTTGAGTCAATGGAATTTCGTAAAATAATGCTTGGTTGGGTGAAACAGCAGGAGAGACAACCATTCTCACTTCCTGGTGATGCTTTTGGACTCGATAGGGTCACTCCACCACCAGCTACTCCGGGTGGTATGGATTTTCTACCACCAACGATGGGGAACGCAAATCGGCCAGGGTCTGGAGAAGGTTTTTCCACTGGTTTACCATGGGCTGTGAAGAAGATCAAGTTGCCAGAATTTTCGGGTTTTGACCCACAAGGATGGATTCAAAAAGCCGAGTTGTATTTCGAAATCAATAACACTCCAATTGATTTGCGTATACGACTGGCACAATTAAGTATGACAGGGGTCGCTGTCCATTGGTTCACCACTGTGAAGCAAGGATACGAATCAATTACCTGGGAGCAATTAACCAAAGAGCTGCTGCATCGTTTTAGTGGTCTGGAAATTCACAATCCTTTTGAGATGATGGCAACCATCAAACAGGTATCCTCTATCCATGACTACATCGATGAATTCGAATATTTGCTCTCGTTAGTTCCTCGGTTACCAGAGAAACAGTCGTTGGGGTATTTTTTGGCTGGTTTGCGTGATGACGTCAAGCAGTGGGTCCGTTTACATCGTCCCAAATCACGTCTTGAAGCTATGTATCTGGCGAAGGACGTGGAGGAGATGCTGCATTCATCAGGAAGCAATTCTCAATCCCGCTTCAGGTATCATACAGGTCCTGGTCCGAGAATGAATTTTGAGGGTGGAACGCGGGCTGTGCATGTGGGCCATTCGGAGTTAAGAGGATCTCAGGCTATAGCTACAACTTCTAAACCACCAATTTCACAAGTTGATCCTAAAAAATCCTTTCCTAATTATCGTTCTTCAGCTAGTGCTTCGACAGATTTTGCGAATCTGTTTAATCGAAATCGTGGGGTTCGCTCTCTCACACGTTCTGAGTGGGACGAACGACGGAAGAAGGGCTTATGTTTTCGATGTGGGCAGCAGTTTGGGCCTGGTCACAAATGTCCTGACRGAAAACTYCGTATTTTACTGTTGGGGGATGATGAATTGCAAGAGGAAGACGGAGCACTTCGCAACTTGGAAACTTACGAGGATCGGGAGGCTTTGGAGAACGATAACATTCCCACCGGAAGTTGCAATTCYTTGGAGCTCTTAGGTAYGTTTTCGRCAGCCAATTCGGGTGGTARGACTCTYAAATTTGAAGGCTCCATTTCGGGTATTCCTTTAGTAATCCTGATCGACAGTGGAGCGACTCACAATTTTAAATCCCAAAAATTGGTATTGGCTTTGGGTCTTCCGATTTTGGTCATTCCTGGCGTCCGGATTCAACTCGGTGATGGGAATCAAGTGTTGGTTACTCAAATGTGTTCAAACCTTAAGGTAATGGTCGGCTCTTGTGAATTCACTGTTAACGTGTTGTTATTCGACATGGGACACTTGGATGTGATTTTGGGTATGGAGTGGCTTAAGACGTTAGGAGATGTTGTGCATAATTGGGAAAATCAATCCATGCGCTTCATACATCATGGAGTTTCCATTGGTCTTCAAGGAACGCCTGGGCATCTTACTGCACATTCTTCTTTACATAGTTGGTTGTCTAGCGATGAATATTCGAGTGTCTTAAATCTAGCACAAAACAGTTCTAGGAAATCGTGTGCAGCACCGTGTCTAACAGATTCACAAACTCGAGCTCTTCAAGAGGTTTTTGGACGATTCAAAGTTGTTTTTGCTGATCTGAAGGGTTTACCTCCGAGCCGTAATCATGATCATGGCATTACCTTAATGGCACCCAATGAACCCGTTTGTGTGAGACCTTACCGATATCCGCATATGCAGAAAGAAGAAATAGAAAAACAGGTAAGGGAGCTGTTAGCTGTGGGAATGATTCGACCCAGCAAAAGTGCCTTCTCGAGCCCTGTCATTTTGGTGAAAAAAAAAAAGATAATTCATGGCGTATGTGTGTGGATTACCGGGCTCTTAACAAAGCTACTATTCCGGATAAGTTTCCTATTCCAGTCGTCGAGGAATTGTTGGACGAGTTAAAAGGGGCTCAGTTTTTTTCTAAGCTCGATTTAAAATCTGGATATAATCATATCAGAATGAAGGCCGATAGCATCGAGAAAACGGCTTTTCGAACACATGACGGGCATTACGAGTACTTGGTGATGCCGTTCGGCTTATCCAATGCTCCAGCAACGTTTCAAGCGGTAATGAACGACATATTTAGACCCATTCTTCGCAAATTGGTGGTGGTTTTTTTTTATGATATCTTGGTATACAGTGCTTCATGGTCTCAACATCTCCATGATTTGGCTCAAGTGTTACAAATTCTGAGGTCCAATCAGTTTGTTGTCAACTTAAAAAAGTGTTCGTTCGGTCAAAAGTCTGTCAATTATTTGGGCCATATTATCTCGGGTGCCGGAGTGGCCATGGATCCAGATAAAATAGGCGCTATTCTTGATTGGCCACTGCCTAAGAAGATTAAAGGTTTAAGAGGATTTTTAGGCCTCACGGGACATTACCGTAAGTTTATTCGTAATTATGGGAGTATCGCAAAACCTTTGACGGAGCTGACTAAGAAAGATGCTTTTCAATGGAATGAGGATGCCCAGTCAGCCTTTGAACAGCTAAAACAGGCTATTGTATCTGCCCCGGTGCTAGTTTTGCCTGATTTTAATTTGTCATTTGTGGTTGAATGTGACACGTCGGGTAGAGGATTGGGTGCTGTCCTAATGCAACAACAGAAACCAATTGCATTTTTCAATAAAGCTCTTAGTGAGCAGAACTTGAACAAATCCGCGTACGAACGAGAGATTATGGCGTTGGTCTTAGCCGTGCAACATTGGAGGGCATATCTGTTAGGCACACGCTTTGTTGTGTACACAGATCAAAAAAGTTTGAAATTTTTGCTGCAACAAAGAATTTCCAACCCAGGACAACAAAATTGAATTGCAAAATTGTTGGGATACAATTTCGAAATCTGTTACAAACCGGGTAAAGAAAATAGAGTGGCTGATGCTTTGTCTCGCAGAAGTGATGAAGGAGAATTGTGGCAATTGGTTTCCACACCAATTTGGGTCCAAGGATCTCAGTTAATTGAAGAAGCAAAGGCCGACGTGGACTTGCAAAAAATCGTTCAAGGATGGGTTCGTCAACCTACTGATTTTCCGTGTTATGAAGTAAAACAGGGCATTCTCTATTACAAAGATCGATTGGTAATTCCTCGAACATCGAAGTTTATTCCGGCTCTATTAGCAGAATTCCACGTTACGGTTTCGGGAGGGCATTCCGGGTACTTGCGTACGTATCGGAGATTGGCTGCCAATCTTTATTGGTCGGGCATGGTTTCTCGAGTTCAACAATTCGTGCGTGCCTGTGACGTGTGTCAACGGTGTAAAGCTAGCTCCACCGTTCCGGGGGGGGCTGTTACAGCCTCTAAACATTCCAGAAGCGATCTGGGAGCATCTGTCCATGGACTTTATTTTGGGTCTGCCGAAGTCCAAGGGATTTGACGCTATTTTGGTGGTGGTTGACCGGCTTTCTAAGTATAGCCATTTCATTCTGTTAAAACATCCTTACTCAGCTCGTTCGGTGGCTGAAATCTTTGTCCGGGAGGTTATCCGACATCATGGAATCCCGAAGTCAATTGTAAGTGATAGAGATCCTCTTTTTTTAAGCCATTTTTGGCAAGAAATTTTTCGGTTACAAGGAACGAAATTACATATGAGTTCGGCTTATCACCCTGAATCTGACGGGCAGACAGAGGTCATCAATCGTTGCTTGGAATCATACCTGCGGTGCTTTGCAACTGATCAGCCGCGAAATTGGGCTTCTTGGGTTCCGTGGGCAGAATTTTGGTATAATTCTTCTTTCCATGTGTCAACGGGTAAGTCACCGTTTGAAATTGTGTATGGAAGGAAACCACCATCTGTATTACAGTTTGTTCCGGGAGAAGTACGAGTGGAGGCCGTTGGGCAGGAACTTCGGGATCGGGATGAAGCCCTCAAGCAACTTCAAGCTCATTTAATTCATTCCCAGTCAATGATGAAGGAGCGAGCGGATAAGAAGAGGAAAGATGTTAGTTTTGAAGTGGGGGAATGGGTATATGTTAAACTTAAGCCATATCGACAGATGACAGTARTCCACCAAATCCATCAAAAGTTGGCAGCACGTTTCTTTGGACCTTTTTAGGTGTTAGAGCGCATCGGGCCGGTGGCTTATAAAGTTCAACTTCCGCCAGAATCACGGATTCATCCCGTCTTTCATGCGTCGTTACTAAAAAAGGCGGTGTCTCCAAGTAAAGTGGAATCAATCTTACCCCCCGAATTGGAGTTAACGGTCGAGGATGTGGCTGTTCCAAATTTGGTGATGGCGGAACGTACCGTTTTGGTGCAACACGAGTCAGTCTTACAATGGCTTATTAAATGGAAGGGTCGTCCGACTGACGAAGCCACATGGGAGGATGCAGTGGTTATTCAAAATCAATTTCCTGATCTAAATCTTGAGGACAAGATTTGTTTGGAAGAGGGGAGTAATGATAAGGATCGGGATAAATTAGTTCAAGGGGATAAAATGTTAAAAGTTTATAAAAGGAGGGCTAAAAAGGGACAATCGGAAAGTGGCTAAGT